GATGCGCCCTCGATCCTCGGTGGTGCTGCTGGGGGCGTCTCCCCGCTGGAAGGGATGGTGGGGGGCAGGGCTGACACCGTTTCTCACCTGTGTAGGGCTTAACTGGAAACTGGCTTCCCCCGCATTTTTTGTTCAATGCAAACCCCGCACAGCTGTTCCTGCGCGCGACCTCAGAGGACGCTGTGCGGGACGTCTCCCTTTATTCCTCGGGCGGCTGAGGGCCCACGGCGCAGAAAATGTCAGGTAAAGGGCCTTCGGATTTCGGATGTGGCAACCGCCCCCCGGGAGAAGAAGTCAGGGACCACGATGGACAGAGATTTGAAGGGAGCAAACGACGGTCGGGTGGCTTTGCGGGTACAGAGGATGTGCGTGGGTCAGAGTGCACGGAACGGTAGGGTCCTGCGGCGCAAGCGGCGCGCAGCTGGGGCGCGGCCCTGAGTCTCCCCTCGGTGCAGGAGGGCTCCCCCGGCCCCAGCTCCGCTCGGCCCGCTCCCATCTGTCTGGAGGGAGGCCCTTCCAGCAAGACTGAATCAGAGATGCACCCGTGCGGCAGTGCCAGTGGATCTGTTCGAACATAGAGATTCCCTATGCCCACCGACTAGAGAAAGGCCTGGCGGCTTGGGGCCATCGGCTCACCTCCTGCCCAGCGCAGCCGGGGAGACCAGGACTGAACGCGCCGTTCCCAGCCCCGGACGACGTCCACTACCCCGGGCTCTGGGGTGCTCACGACAGTGCCCAAAGACAGACACTGCTTCAAGACCTGCACCTTTCAGACCAAAGGGGCTCCCCAACCAGTTTAACAGGGTCAGGAGGAAAGGTGACCTCTGCCCTTTGAAGGGCAAACCGGGGGTACAGGATCTTGGCTTCCAAAAATCAGATATAAAGAGAACTTATGTTGCCAATGCTCTCAAGAGATGGGTCTGCAGGGTTATTTTCCTCTCTGGATCCTAAAGCCTCTACTGCTCCCTGGGTAAAGCTATGCCTTCCCTTTATTTCCCCTCTCTTTTTTTTTTTTTTAAGATTTTTTATTTATTTATTTGAGAGAGAGAGAATGAGAGATAGAGAGCACGAGAGGGAAGAGGGTCGAGGGAGAAGCAGACTCCCCGCTGAGCAGGGAGCCCGATGCGGGACTCGATCCCGGGACTCCAGGATCATGACCTGAGCCGAAGGCAGTCGCTTAACCAACTGAGCCACCCAGGCGCCCTATTTCCCCTCTCTTGCCCTCTTGGGAGTTTTTCTGGGCCAGAGCCTGGGACAAACTTGCTGCCTTCCTGGAGATTCCAGGACCCTGAACCATCAACCCCTCCCTACTTCTCTGCCCCACTAGCGACCAGCCAACCGCTTTTCTGAAAGCGGCAACAGTAGCCTGATGGATGGATCATGGAGCAAAGAAGAGAATGGACTGTGTGTGCCCAATTGTAAGGAGGGTGGCAACTGGCCAGGGTTCTGCCCCACTGCTCCAAATAGAGCTTTGAGTTCAGGGAGGAGAGTTGAGGTCCTATTATGGGCCGCAGGTGGGGGACAGCCCCTTGCACCTGTCCCATTTAGAGAGGCGGAGCCCCAGGAAATGAACCAGGGAGCACTCCAACTTTTTATAGAGCACTCTCGGGCAATTCTGAGGGACACCGGGCTCCAGTCCCTCCTCTCCAGAGGTGAAAGAAGTCAGAGCTACAAAGATGCTCTCCTTAAAGTGCTTACTCCCTTTGTAAATAAGAGGTAGTGAGGGGGGCCCTCTTAGGTAAACTTTTGGGGCTCCAAGACAAAAAGGATACCCCAGATCACACATCCAGTTCTTGGAGCAACCCCCCCCCCCCCGCCATGGGCATTCTCTTTAAGGATCTGTGAGAGGAGGCAGAGCTGGGCGGGTGGGGAGCAATTTCTGCAGAACTAAAAAGGACCTCCCAAACTCCAGCAGCACCCCCTGCCCCACCCCTAGCTCTGCAAATTTCCTGCCTTGGCTGAGAAGGAAGACTCCTGGCAGTACACTTCTTTATGGGAAGTAACAACACCCACTGGGTGCAGGAACTTATAACCTAAGTTTTATAAGAAAAAAGCAGGCATAGCTGGAATCCAACCCCAAAGCTGACTGTAGAAGGTGCTCTGCCCTGCCTGTACCCGATAGACGATTAACAAATATTTGTGGAGCAGATGAACGCATGAAGGATGTTTTACAGGACTTCTGTGATTGGCTTCCTTGGAAACTTCACAGAACTATTTTTCCTGGAGCTGTTTGTTAAACTTTCACTTCATTAAGTCTCCAAAGTTCATCTCTTGCAAGAACAGGGTTGTGTTCTTGCATTCTTTGTTGTTTTTGCTGAGCAAGACCAAAATTCAACAACAGCCAAACCTAATTCCAACACCCCCGTTTGGCAGGCGGGCGATGGGGGTGGGGGGTGAGAGCGGTAGTTTAGTCCAGAAACTAGACAAAGCAGGTCCCTGGATTGAGGTCCCAAATTTACTTTTACCTTGGAGCTTCCTTGGGTTGACTGATTTTCTTCTCAGAGACCCCTCCTCTTTCTCCTCCTCCTCCTCCCCGGGATCTGAGTCCATTTAGCTGCTGACTTGTGGGAAGGCAATCTGCCCCTTTGTGAGAGGACCTGCTGTCTCTGAAAGGGTTGCTGCTCCCAGCCCCTCCTTGGGGCCCTTCGTTTGTGCACGTGGGTTTGAAAAGCTCATTGATTTCCATCCAAAGGGGCTAATTACATTACTTACAGTAAATAGCAGCCCTGCTGTCCGGTAGGGCTGCCAAAGTGAGGGGGGAGGTCTCCAGCTTAGTTCACTTGATTGGCTTCATTTTTGTGTGAAATTGTGTTTTATGAGCTGTATTCTGGCACCCAGAGGACTGTAACAGCGTCCAGTCTGCAAATAACATTATTTTTGACCCTGAGAAAAGAGCAAGGGGAAGCAGTGGAGTCTTGGGTTTCATGGAAGAGGTGACTCCAGCAGCTTCAGAAGGCGATGCTTTGGGACAGGAAGTCAGACTGCTGCACAAGTTCCCTTCCTGCCTCCATTCTTGTCTGCCTTCGCTTCCTTCCTTCCTTCCTTCCTTCCTTCCTTCCTTCCTTCCTTCCTTCCTTCCTTCCTTCCTTCCTTTCCCTCTCATTCTCATTCTCTTATTTCTTCCCTTCCCCTTTTATCCTTCCTTCATCCTTCCCTCCTCTATCTCTTCCTCCCTCTCTTCCTTCATCTTTCCAGATTTGACCACCATCCCCTAGAGGGAAGCAAGTCTGCCAACAGGGTACTCCTCTGAAGTACCCGGGGTGTGTGGAGACACGAGCCATTCCTGGGAAAGCCGATGATGGGGAGTGGTGGGAAGCAGGCAGGCAGGAGGAAGGAAAGAAAGGGGGAGCAGCCCTGGCTTCCTCCTTTCGCTGATTATAAAGTTGGGTTGGTTCCTGCCACTGCTCTATGCTTCAGGCCCCTAGGGGGCTTCTGGTGGTTTGAATGAATCGACAATATCAGAGTGTTGTGGACACTTTTTAATAGGGCCAAGGAGGGGCCACTGCTAGTGGGAACAGAGGGAGACAGAACAATCCCGCCTCTTGTCAGGCGCAGGTCTGCCGTTCTGCTTGTCAGCTCTCACCTTCCCCTCCTCCACAGCGAGGAGCCCCTTTCACATCCTCCTAAATGTGCGGTGCATCCAGTTTTACAAGTCCCCTGTCCTGCCAGGGCGGTGGGAACAGGACGCAATAGGGCGCGCATCTAGTCCTGCAGGGGTCCTCCACTGGCTGCCCACATTGAGGAGTTTCAAGTAGGACACTAGGATCACCAGCAGTTCATATTCAATCCTGAGCTGGGTAAGAGAATACCTCACCCCGTGTCGTGGTTCAGTTGAGTACTCCCCCCGCCAAAAGTCCATGCCCTGTCCTCCACATTCATTTTTCAAACAAAACCTTTTGGCCTAAAGTAAGCTTCAGAATCTTAGGTTTTTGTAGCCTGTTTTTCACGTTGGGTGATGTTCCAGGCCCTGGTAGGGTGGAGGGCCTCTAGGGGAGGTGAGGCAACCTGCTTTTAAAAAGTGAGTTGAGGAAGAGGGGAAGGGAGGAATCTCTGTTTAACATTTGCGTATTGGGGGTCCCCTGTAAGTTAGGGACCATAAAGTCCACAAGGAGGAAACCCAAAGTTTGGAGCTGACATCCTGTATGCCTTGAGCTGGGGTCTGATCTTGAACTTGGACCAAATAGACTTTCTGCCTCCTGCACCAGGGCGGGGACAATAAGGGCTCATTTCCCCTTTAAATCATGATTACTGAGAACTCTTGGAAGGATGTGTGTGTGTGTGTGTGTGTGTGTGTGTGTGTGTGTGTGTGTGTGTGTGTGTTGGGGGGAAGTAAATGCCCCCTCCTACTAACCCCCCCTCCAGCCCCCTCCCCTTTGTAATGTTTGTCCCTGCTTGCCCATCACCAGGGGGTTGAGAGGAGTATGACAGGTCTTTGTTGTCTGAATAAAAATCCGCGGCAGCTCCAGGGAGAGAACTCCTCCTACTAAATTATCAAAAATGGGCTGGCTTTAGTCTCTTAACAAATTGGACACAGCTACGGCAGGAGCAGTCCCCAACCCAACCTACAGGCACTGGGAACTTGCAAGCAGCCAGGGACCGCTGAAAATAGCACTTCTTTTTCTTTCTTTGTGTTCAAAACTATTTTCTTTCTTCACCAGATTTTGTTTTCCTCCCCCCGCTGCAGTTGTTTCCCATTAGTAACTCGATCTCTCGGAGCAGTAAGATTCGCCTTCTTCGTCTCCTTTCCCCTCCGCCCCTGTTTGTTTGTTTTCTGCACATCTCCTTCAGGGAGCCGCTGGGGTTTCCCCCTTCTTTTGCTTTTTTTCTTTTTCTTTTTCTTTTCCAAACACACCAATTTCCACTCTGTCTGCCTTTTTCTTCTTCCCTCTCTCCCTCTTGCCTTCCGTCCCCGAGCGTCTCTGCGCTCCTCCAACACGCAGCTCTCTGCCGTCCCTTCTGCTCCTTCACTCGGATGAGCTGAGAGCCGCGGGCGTGTGTATATGGAAATAGTGGGGTGCCGAGCAGAAGACAATTCGTGTCCTTTCCGTCCCCCAGCCATGCTCTTCCACGGGATCTCCGGAGGCCACATCCAAGGCATCATGGAGGAGATGGAGCGCAGATCTAAGACCGAGGCCCGCCTGGCCAAAGGCGCTCAGCTCAACGGCCGCGACGCGGTAAGGACGGGCCCCTCGGCGGCGGTAGCCTGGCGCCCCAGCGCGCCCTGCGAAGCCGAGCCTCCATTCCCTGGCTGGCCGAGCTGAGGATGGAGGGTCCTAGGGACGTCCGTTCCAGGCTGGCGGGTGGGTTTTCTCCGGTCTGACTGCCTGCCGGGCTAAGAAAACCCCTTTTCTGACTTGAAACGTCTCCGCAACCGAGACCCTGAGTTCGCTACTCTGTGCCGCAGCTGTTCCCGGCAGAGCAGGGAGGGCCGGGAGTGAGAGAATGGGGGTGTCCCCTTCTGCAGACCTCACACTCCGGTCTCCGGCCCCCCTTGACTCCGGGCGCCTCCCGGGCGAGGACAGCGGCAGCGAGGGCGAGCTGGGTGCGGGCAATGCGCGGACGGCGCGCGCGGCCGTGGCGTCGCGGCCAAGCAGGAGCCCAGGTGGTTCTAGTCTCTGGGTGTGCTGACGGGATCTTTGGAGAGGACTCAGACTCCACTGGGCCACCTTCAGTTCTCAGGACGCTCGGAGCGCGGCACTGCCTAGCCCAGCGATTTTCGGGGTCTCGGGCAGCCAGGCCCGGCCCCTCTAGCGAAACAAGACTGCGTTCAACTTCCGGGCCGGGCGGGTGTAACGTGTAGGGGGAAATCTAAGAAAAACCCGGAGGAGCACCTAGGCTACGCGCGAGAACTTTCTACCCTTAAACGATACAATCAACTACCACTGTTACTACAATTCACATTAATAAAAGTCGCGTCCAATTAATAAAGAAAGCCAATTAGTAATCTATGTGCTTCCCTTTCCCACGTACGAGCGGGAGGGGAAAAACTACAGAAGTCTCCGGAAATGATTTCAGCGAAACAGAGCTGTGTAGATCCTTCGGCCTCACACCCGGCATTGTAGCTCGAACCAACCCTTTCGACTGCTCCCGCGGGTCAGTGGTGTTTTGGGTTACACCAAGTAGCCGAGTTGGTGGATGTTGCCGCATTTGCAAACTGAACATAGTGTGGAGGGCCCCAGGTCTGAGTAAAAGGAAGAAACTTTACTTTTCCAGGCCCGCCAAAGTTTTGTGGGAAGTCCAGCCCATTTCTGCTAGTCTTGAGGGAAATGACCAGTGGTTACTTTCTTCTTTTTCTTTTTCCTTGTTGTGGCTATCCTGTTTAAAACCAAAAAGCAACCCAAACCCGAATGTCGTGGCGGGGCTGGGCTGGTCACGGTGAGGTTTCCTCATCTTCAGCCTGGTCGGTGGGTAAGCGGAGGGGGGGGGGAGCTGAACTTGGGCACTAAACAGATTTTCAGGACACAGGTCTCCCGGGTAGGTTAATGCAGGGGGAAAAGGGGACTGTGCAGAGGGGACTAGACAACGAACTCTTCTGGGAACAGGCACTTTATACCCTTACTGGGGAGAGGACCAATATCCCTGAAAATGAGAGAACAGCCAGATACACCCCGGTCAAAACAATGTCGACCAAATTAGGAGCACAGGTATCATAATCTCTCCCTTCCTTTTAATTTAACGCTGCCTATAAGAATTTAGGGAAATGGAATGGTTTCAAAACAATCTGTGTTCGTTCAAATTTCCTTTCCATTCCCCCGTAAAAATTTCCGTTGTTTTATTTTGTGTGCGTTGAAAGCCACAATTTTTAGCATGTATATTCGAGTTTGGGAGCATCCGCCAAACTATACTCAAGGCGCTCCTAGCATTTTTAAGAGTTTCGAGGTGGACGGCGTGTCTTTAAGGTTTTAGAAGAGGGTGGAGATGGCCAGCCTGTCTTTAGGTTAATAGTCCCGGGAGAATGCGAACGCCGGGTTCAGGCAGACACTGCAGAAAGGGAGTGAGTCGCAAAAGGAAAAATCGCTAACTTTCCCCCGACGTTTGCCTTTGCGCTGTGGCCCCTGACCCTTGCCCTGCTCCCGGAACGACTGAAACTCGCGCTGCCGGGAGGGAACTCCGCGTTGTGCATCTCCGCCGCGCTCCGTCCTCAGCGGTGCGCTGTGCTTGCCTTGCAGGGCATGCCCCCGCTAAGCCCCGAGAAGCCTGCTCTGTGCGCCGGCTGCGGGGGCAAGATCTCGGACAGGTACTACCTGCTGGCTGTGGACAAACAGTGGCATCTGAGGTGCCTGAAGTGCTGTGAATGTAAGCTGGCCCTCGAGTCCGAGCTCACCTGCTTCGCCAAGGACGGTAGCATTTACTGCAAGGAGGATTACTACAGGTATTCCCGCCCCTACCCTTTACGCCCCAGTACACCTGGCGGGGCAACCTGCCCGAGCCCGGGAGCCTCCTCTCTGTCCCCCACCTTTCGCCCCTTCGGGGTACGGTTATCAATCCCGAGACCGGGGAAGTCCACTGCATACGCCTTCCAGCTGCGCCACCCCCACCAAGGGCGGTGAGGATGGGTGGGAGGAATACCCGAGGTCAAGAGCTACCAGTGACTATCCCCCACTCCCGACACTTCACAGTTCAGTAGAGGGAATCTGGAGAAATCTTGAGATAGTGAATAAATATGTGTCTGTCGACCGAGACTAAAGCGGGTATTTTTTTTTTTCTTTTTTTCCGTTTACTACGAACTGGGCGAGACCCGCACCTTGGAACTGAACTGGTGGCTGGGGCAGCCGGAACCCGGTGTTAGGTTTTTGCGAGGGTGGCGGGAGACCACGTAAATGGCCATGAAAAGGAATAATCGCCCTTGGTGAAACCCAAGCCACTCAGTTCTGAGTTCCATTTACTGCTAGTTAGAACCTTGCCGGCTAGCCTGGCGAGCAAACTCCAGGGATGTTTTTTGATGCTTCCCAGTTATTTTTTCTGGAGTGGGAAAGAGAACTATGCGCAAGTGACCTAGCTCCACTCTCAACCAAAGGGAGAGAGGTGATTAAAAAAGAATTAGATTTCTTCTGCAAAAGCGTCTGTCTGAATGCTTTCAGGCACACGCACACATCCATAAATAATAATAATACCACCCTTCATAGAGTGTTTTGTAACGGATGAAACCCTTTCCCTTGGCATCACAATTTAATATTCTTTACATAGCGTTTGAGTTAGCTAGTGCGGGTTTGTTTGGTTGTTGGGCTTTTTCTTTTTCTTTCTTTTTTTTGGCTTTTTTTTTTTAAATCTTAACTTTACAGAGAAGGCAACTGAGGATGTCACCCGATTCTTCTTATTTTAATGTAAGGGTTCTTTGTCCTGCTTCACCACCAGAACAGGTCATAAGCAAGTAAAATTAATGACCAAATGGACCGGTGTCCTCTTCTGTCAGAGCCCTCCTAGGTGTCAGTCTAGGACCACTGCTGACCAAACTCCAGGTGTCACGGGTGGCCTCACCGAGCGCCCTGACTTGACTTTTTTTTTTCCAGAAGGTTCTCTGTGCAGAGATGTGCCCGCTGCCACCTTGGCATCTCCGCCTCTGAGATGGTCATGCGTGCCCGAGACTCTGTCTACCACCTGAGCTGTTTCACCTGCTCCACTTGCAACAAGACCCTGACCACGGGTGACCATTTTGGCATGAAGGACAGCCTGGTGTACTGCCGCGCCCACTTCGAGACCCTCTTGCAAGGGGAGTATCCACCGCAGTTAAGCTACACCGAGCTGGCGGCCAAGAGCGGTGGCTTGGCCCTGCCTTACTTCAATGGCACTGGCACGGTGCAGAAAGGGCGGCCCCGGAAGCGGAAGAGCCCAGCGCTGGGAGTGGACATCGTCAATTACAACTCAGGTGGGCCCTTACTGCTCCCCCCACCCCCGCCCCCCTCCAGCCCTGGCCTCCGGCTGTCCTGAGGAGCATCCCATAGAGCTCCTTTCCCATTCAAGACCTGGTGGCAAGAGGGGGTTTTGCTTAACATGCCTCTTTCCTCAGTACAACTCCCTTTCACTCAGAAGAGGGGGAAAGAGGGAGAGAAGGAGAGGGGAAAGAAGGAGAAAGGGAGAGGGGAGAGAAAGACCTTTATTTAGGTTGTGGCAAAAAACACATTCATGACCCTGGGGCCGCAATGACTTCCCCCAAACAGGCTGAGCCAAATCCTTGTTGCCCATTAGTTAATGAGCCCATTAGTTTCTGGCTCCCAGTAGGAGCAAAACAGCCCCAGGGCAATTCCTGTGTGGAAGCCAAATTATAGATCCTGGAGGAGGTTTTCCTATATACTGAAAAAAAAAAAAAATCTTCAGAGCCCAACTTCAGTCTGTCTAGAGGAGGCAGAGGCTGTGGTCACCAGCCCAGAGTTAATCAGGAACACAGTTGGCAAGAGTGTTGAAAACCGAATCCCTGATTTTGGTGAAAAGCAGCTGTAGGGGTAGGAATCACTCTCCACAGTTGAGCTGGCCTGTCCCTTCTGTAGGTCAGGGTACTCATCCAACCAGCTCATTTCCTGTATGGTCAATCATCCGGACATCCAGACCCCTTGGAAAAATGAAAGAAGCTCCAGGTCAGGCCCACTGAGGAGCCTTAGTGGTGTGACAGGCTGCTCTTCTGTCCTCCACTGGCCTCCTCTCTTAATTAAAAACAAAATGCAGGCAACAGGCCTGAGAGCGCACTTTCTTCCTTGCTTTGGGGGACACCTATCATTTATCAATCTCTCTCATTCACCACTTTCCCATGGTTGGTAGTCTGCCCAGCTCTCCATCCCCCAGGTGAGGATGGAGATGGACATTGCAGATCATAGCTTCCTCCAAGCAGGAAGGAAGCTCTTTCTTTGAGTTCCAGACACTGGGAAAAGGGGCCTGGAAAGCCCAGGCTAACTTTTGGGAAACTAAGGCCTGGTTTCCCATGCTGGGCCCAGCCCTGGATGGGACTCTCAGAGGCAGGGGACTCAGGCTAGGGAGTCCATTCTATTGGAAGGGACCTTGGGGACCTCGCTGTGGCAACCCCACTCTGATACCATGAGTACCCAGATACCAGCCAAAGCATGGACGTACCAGAACACAGATCTTGCTGGTTTTCATCTTCCAGTCCCCAGTGCTGGGTACGGTGCCTGACCCATTGTTGCTCAATGGTAAAGGAACGTTATCCATTCGGATAAGTGATTTATCCACGGTCACATAGCCAGTGTGAACCATTTGGAACTAAAAGTCCTGCTCTGAGCCGGGAGTTTTTAGGGGAAGCCTCTCTGGACGAGCGGGCTCTCCCCAGCCTTGTGCTCGGCTTCCTCCTGGGTTCTCCGCTGATTTAACTGAGAAGAAGGAATCCCAACCCGGTCAGCGCGGCGGGGCGGCGTCCCACGGAGATTAGGGACCAGGGAGCTCAGTGCCGCTACACTTGTCCCTAGAGGGTTCATGCCAGGGTCGCTAGACCAAAGGAAAAGAGCGGCTGGCTCGCAACAGACCCCACCCGGACCGGTTTGTGTTAGGGCCGCGGGCGCAGCCCCGGGTTTTGCCAACCCCCGGCTGCGGGTCGCGGCCTCGCGCTCGCCCCTGCTGCGCTTCCGCAAGGGTTTTTGGTTCGGGGCCACTTTGCCCAGCGCGCTCATTTCATTTCCTTTGATGCGAGGTCCCCGGAGCAGGACGGGCAGGGCACTAATTGTTCTTTATTAATAGAAGATGACATCGGAATCTCGAGCCACTCACCAAGGCCCTAATGCCCTAATTAGAGAGAGACGGAGACAGAGACCAAGAGGCCGAGACCCACATAACGAGCGAGTCCTTTGCAGAGAGGGAATCCCTCAGCCTCGAGAAAGTGTGCAGAAGGGTGGCGATTTCTAGCCACGCGGCAGGAATCCTAGTTTTTGCGCTTGTTTATTTAATCTAACTAGCTAAAATTGATTTTGTCTTGGATCTTACTTTATGTTAGAAAGATCCGGGGGGCTTTAAGAACAGTAGAATTTAGTATCACTACTTCTAGAGCTTGCACATTTATTTCTTAAGAGAAAAAAAAAAGAATGAAAATCTCCTTCCACTTCAGTCTTTAGTTTGCAGATTAGTGCTGCTGCAAGGTTTATTGAGAAAGGTGATGCTGTTTTGCTCATGCGGGAGGAAAGGGTTGCTGAGGCCTCCCTATCCTGAGTTTGTACATCACACCACCTCAGACTGGATGCTTATTAATTAGCATCCACCCCATCCTTTCCGGACTTTCCCTAGAGATACAAATGAATAGTACATAATTCTTTAAAATCAGGTGAAAATAATCTAGAGAAATTGGGTTAAAGATACATGACCAGAAATCAACCCCGGTATTAAAAAAAATGTTTATGAATCTAATGCAAGTTTGTTGCAAAACTAGCAAAAGAAAAGCTTCAGCAAGTTAAAAAAATGTTATTATTTTAACTTTCTCTGGATCTTACATTGCCATCTCTGCTTAAATGTAACCTAGTCTCAGAAAGAGTAAAATTGACACTAAACAAATATAATTTATACATCAATATATTTAAAAAAATATAGAGCAAATGTGTTTAGAATTCAAAGACATCGAGAGAAGATGTGAAACTTGGTAAAGATCACTTAGTGCTTGACATCTGGCAAATACTTTTTAATGAGAATATTCCTAATTTAGTTTATACCTCCTTGTGCAGATACCAGGCAGATATTTTAGAAAGAGACATAGTTTATTTGGAATGCTGGATTGGAAAGCAGCCCTCCAGGGGTGAGAAGAAGATTTAGTCTAGAATAGGCAACTCTTATTTGGGCAATTTAGCATTAATGGAGAGACTACATTTTTGCTAGTTTTAAAAATCTCCCTTCCCAAGTGTAGGTTTTCTTCTATTCCAAACTTCAAAAGCTCCTGATGGTTGTTAAATTAGCCTGGCACTGACCCCTAGTGGTCTCCCAGGGATCAGTTAGTTCTCAGAAGGTTATATACCTTCAGAAGAGAAACTCACTTTAGTATAGGTGACCACTTCATAAGTGACTGGAAAATAAAATATTTAGATCTTCTCACTGACTTTATAATGCCAGATGTGTACTTAGAGGTGGATGGTTAAAGCAGTTTTAAGAGCGTTATCATTTCATCTCATAATTCAGGGGGAACACATATAGCTTTAGAAGTAGACCCTGGGGAAACACAATCACTTGCAAGTTTATATAATGCATTTGTAGTTAAACACAAGCAATTTAGGATAATACACTGAGTTACTCTGTGGAAGAAACAGATTGGTCTTTTAAGTTGAATAATATGATGACACTGTCACAGGAAAAGCATACACTAATATCTGTTTAATAAAGAGCTAGTCTATGTGGAAACAAGTCCCATCATTGTGTTTAATGAACTAAAGTTATCTGCTGGGTTTTTAATCTGCAATAATGAATATAGAATACATATTCAGAAAAGCAATTTAATCAAACTATTCCATAATTATTTTTCATAAACTTTATTTTAAAGACTAATGAAGTACATAGTGAAGTTAGGAATCATACTCATCTCTAAGAAATATTATCTAGGGATGAGGGAATGGCTAAGGGCATTATTTAAACACTAACTTAAATCTTCTATCCCAAGTGTAATATTCAATCTGATGTGCTGTTCAGGAAAAGTTACATGTTACTCACATATGATAGGAATGAAATTGTATTTGAAGAAGCCTCCAATGACTGAGGTGTGCCTCTTTGACCATTTTGTTGTGGGCACATTTATAATCTGGTTGTGAAATATAGCTCAGTTTACTGGAGATAAGTATAGTTTTATAGTAGGTCATAAGATGCTGTTTCATCCATTTGAGGATATGAAAGTACAATTCTGTAGAATATTTGAACTCAACATATCCCCAGTGGACTAAAATAGGGTAAAATGTAAAGTACATACTTTTTCTTATCTCTGAGTACATGTTACTCTTCTGGTGCAGTTTAAGAAGTCTGTGTTCAACATTTGTAGGTATATATCTAGCTTGGATTCCCTTTGAGTTGACTTGATTTTTCATTAGTAGTCACTCAATTTTATTGACGAACAAAGATTCAAAATCTTGGTGAAATGCTTTTGAGTCCTGGCCCTGTACTTGACTTAGCAGACACAAAGGTGAAAGTTATATAATCTTTCCCTCAATGAACTCATCTGCTCTTTTGCCAAACGTGCCCTCTACTTAAGTGTCTTATGGAAATATAAACAAAGGAGACATTAATTCATGCTTAATATAATGTCTTCTTACATTAGAGAGAATTTCTTGTTATGTGGATTTTGTGATGAAATGTGATGACCTCTTCATTGATGACCAAAACTACTGTTTCTGTATATATGCTGACTTAACCAAAAATAAGTTTTAGAACATAATTCTAACCAGACCATAGCAGACAAATAATATTTTATCAAGCAGAAGAGCTAATATTAAGAAATGCCTTACTTTCTTCAGATTCAGGTTTTGTCTGCCCCCCACCAAGTGACATGATCAGGTTGATTTTAGATATTCTATTATAATGTACTAAAATGTAGGATGATCAGATCTGCAAATGCATCATCTAAGTAACTGAAGTAAGGGTTTAAAGAAAAAAAAATGCCATGCCCTTTAAGTTGAGATGAAATCAGTCAATATTTAGCAAAATATTTTCATTTTGTAATCCTATTTTCTTTGCAGAACCAGTAGGTTATTGGAAATGGCCTTTTAAATGTACATCTTTACACCCTGGGATGATGACTTTCAGGCTGGTTTCAAAGGCTGGATTGTTTTGCCCTCAATGCTGAGCAGGGCTTTGCAAGGAGAGAGATGTCACCCTCTTTCTGCCAGGCCAGCCGGGGGGCACAGCTCAAATCCCAGTCACACACATCCACTCCCCAGCAAAAAGGGCCAAGATCTGAGCTGAGAAATAAACGCCATCAGCGTCTCTGAACTGTGAGCTGTGGGGAGCGCTTCAGGCATGAACTAAGTGAAGAGAAGTCTGGGCTCATTCTCTTTCAGAAATATTTATTAAAATAACTCCAAGGGAAAACTGTTTTCTTTCTGGGATTGCCCAATGTTAACCAGTTATAGCTAAAAACCCTCAAAAATAATATTCTTAGGATTGCATAAGAAATCTATAAATTCTTATTTTGTAACTTCTCCCTTTTCTGCAACCACTTTCTACCTTTTTCCTGATTATGAAGACTCTAGGAACATCAGGAAAAGCTAAAATTTGGAACTGACTTAGATTCTTCCTTACTTGGTGGGCTCTCAAAAACTCTCAGATTTGAGAGAGCTGAAATTACTTGTTTGCATATCCCTCATGGTAAAGAACAGTGCCTTCAGACAGTATGTTTCATTTCACAAACAGACAAAATATGGAGTCTTTAAAAATTGTGTTTGTGTAGAAGGGCAGGTGCTGATATGTATAAATATATTAGAGCTTTTCCTTTTCACTCTTGGATGCTTCTTTCACACTTAGGGCTTGTCTTCCCGAGCTTGCTAGCAACCATTATGCAAAAGAGAGAATTTATCTAATACTTTTCTGTTACATAAACTTTGGTTGTGTCCATATTAAGAGGCTGGTTTGGCGGACTTTGGCAATTAACCTCTTTGTTTGGTCTAGATACTGCTTATTACGTGGGTTGACAGGCTTTCCCACTGTTGCTTTATTATCAAAGCATTATACAGCCTGCCACCCCTGCAGCTAATGGCTGACTTTCCACTGAGCCCTTGCTTGTTCGCTGTTACCGCAACAGGTTGTAATGAGAATGAGGCAGACCACTTGGACCGGGATCAGCAGCCTTACCCACCCTCGCAGAAGACCAAGCGCATGCGAACCTCCTTCAAGCATCACCAGCTACGGACCATGAAATCCTACTTTGCCATCAACCACAATCCGGATGCCAAGGATCTCAAGCAGCTTGCTCAGAAAACAGGCCTCACCAAAAGAGTTTTGCAGGTAAGAAGCCTCCATCATTGGCTGTGTATACCTCTCCCTTACCCTTGCCAGTAAAAATAGTTCTCTTCCCTGTTTAGAGCAATACAGATATTTCCTGTACTGCTTTTCATTAGTTTATCTTAGTTATCTCCCAAGAGGGTAGGCTGAAATTTTGCAGGGGCTTCCTGGAGGGTGTCCAAAGACACTCCCAGGATCTTCTAAAATGCAGCCACTTTCTCCCCGTAGGTGGAGAGATGGGCCCACCAAAGCCAGCAAGCTTGCCTCACCACTTTGCTAATGTGGCTGATGTTATTTGTACAAGTTGTGGCTTTAGAGAGTTCCATTCACACTAGGCTCAGTACAGAGTTGAAGGGGGACCTGCTGGTGCTTTTGTATTTCAGCAAACTCTTGGCAGCCTCACTCACAGGCCATGACCTTCCAAATGCAGATCAACCCTTTTTTTTTTTTCATTTCCTGAATAGCCACAACTACGGTGTCTCAGCAACCAACTGTAGCAAGTATTTTCCCATTTTAGTAAACCATATTTCAAAACTAAACATTGGGAGTTAGATGTGCTGTCCAATTGTTTTCCTAAACTCATAATGGTAAGAATATACAACTAATGAAATTATAGTGGGTTGCTGTGGGTCACCAGTGATCCTTTTCTACTTCTCAGTGACAAATTGCAGATACTTAAATTTCCACAACCAGTTTCTGGCTGCTTGGGGTCTGTGGTCCTGGGTTTTTCCTATGCACAGACTACTTACCATGTGTCAGACTCAAGGATAGCCTGAAATCTGTTTCAATGATGTTCATTTCATACGAGTCATTCTTACTTTGCAAAACTTTCAGTGATCCTGCCTCTCCCCATTCTCAAAAGATAATAATCAGTTAAGGAATTGGATATATTTTTCCCCTTTATCTCTGTGCCTTCATTTCTATGGTATTTCCACTTAAGCATCAGTTGTCCCACGTGGCACTTGTTAATGCTGGGGGGATATATGCAGTTGAGAGAATATCTGTAGCATTACTTGAATTAATCTGTTCTAAAAGAAAGCAAAAAAAAAAAAAAAAGCCCTTCTCTCCCAAGAAAAATAAACAATTATATTTAAAAAGAAAACATTCAAAAAACAAAAAAAGAAAGAAAAGCAAGCAAGCAAGAAAAAAAAGATAAGGAAAAAAGAAGGAAAGAAAGAGAAAAAAACAAAAGAAGTCTAAAATAAACATCGGTAAAGAAATCAATTGGGATTGGTTTGCAGGTTTGGTTCCAAAACGCACGAGCCAAATTCAGAAGGAACCTTTTGCGGCAGGAGAATGGGGGTGTTGATAAAGCTGATGGCACGTCGCTTCCGGCCCCGCCCTCAGCAGACAGCGGCGCTCTTACTCCACCCGGCACTGCGACCACTTTAACAGACCTGACCAATCCCACTATCACTGTAGTGACATCCGTGACCTCTAACATGGACAGCCACGAATCCGGAAGCCCCTCACAAACTACCTTAACGAACCTTTTCTAACATTGGTTTTTTTTTTTAATTCTTCCTCTTCTTTTATTATTCTTATTATTCTTATTTTATTATTTACAAGATTTTTTTTTCCTAACCCACAAGATATTTGGGAAATAAAAACAACAGCTTGGTGTGTAGCATCTGCAGCCACTTGGCAAATGAGTTTACAGTATTGTCTCCTTTACAAAGTGGTTTTTTGTTTTTGTTTTTGTTTTTTTGTCTACAAAGTGTACTTGGGTTTTTTTTTTTAAATTAGATCTTTCAGTTGGTAAGGGGAGTTTTTGAATTATTCTAATAAGTGCCTCTTAAAATTGTATGTTACTTATTTCCAGAATCTCAAAGAAAAAAAAGTGGTATTATGATGGGCAAATAATCATATTCCCAATTAAATGAGTAGGTTAATAAAGAATCAGATAATTAAAGTTATTTTTTAAATCTTGCAATTGTATGTGTACTTACGGAATTTTGAAAACTTCACATTGTTTTTTGAATTTTAGAACTGAAAAAAATGTTTTGATCATTCTTTTTTTCTTACAAATGAGGAATATGATTAAACAAAAGCATTATCTATAGCAGCTCCAAATATTAAAGATTAATTAGGTGGGAAATCTGTTCCAAGGACGTGACTTTTCCTTCTTTTTGGGATGTACATCCCAGCAAAACTTGTTAGTTAGTTACTTGTTTTTCAACGTTTGAAAAATACTTAAACTCCCTGTGTATCTATGAAAATTCCATATAGAGTTTGAAATTCTATACTTTTAACCTAAAGCTAAAAATGATAGTTGTAAAACCATTCTTTCTAAATTAATTTTTTTCCTAGGGAAAATGGAAATAAGCAAAATATAATTTTTTAAGAAGTTAAAAAAGTATAATTTAATTAATAGATCTATTAATTGGCTTCAGCTGTACCATGATATTGTATCTGGCATTCTATATGAATAATGTTTTTTTTTTTTTAAAAAAAAAACCTTAGTAGACTAATATTAACAACAAGAAATCTTTGGTTTGTTTTACTTTATTTTACTTTGGCATAGGTTGATATATTTATCAGAAAAAAACCCTTTTCTGACAGTACAGATTGAAAGTTATTAGTCTTAAAGTAGATAAACTCAGAAGCCTTGTGGATGCTGATCTGAATATATTTCCTAGTTTACAGTAGCATTTTTTTTTCTTTTAATTTAAGCTAAAATCTTAATGGTCTGGGCAGTGGTGAATGTTCATCTATATGCTTCTGTTGTAGTTAAATACCAATTAGATTGTGGATTTCCTAAAAAAAATAAATAAATAAATAAAAAAGAAGTCAAGATCTATGTCTTGCTTTAGTGGATTGTTAAGAATAACTTTGCACATATTCCCCACTTTTTGGACCCCTTAAATCTTCGGTGGTCAAAGTGGCTATTTAATAGATTTTAAAGGTGTCCTTCTGGCTGTATAAATGTGTGGTTACATATTGACAGTTCACTGCCCACATTAAAGTGCATTATTGTAACTTTTGCTCAGGGTCTTTAGAAAATTAGCACAGAAAGTAGCTTATTTTTTAAAAAAAAAGATGGTGGAAGATAAGTTAACACTGTAACAGAAGAAAGGTGTGATTGCCATTATATATTTAGCAAGTGTGGTTATCATCTTATATGGAGCTTAAATCTTGACTTTTCATATTTCTATTACATTTTGGGCATTTACCACTAACCAGACCAAACAACCTTGGTAAGGCTGAGATCTTATTAATACACTTTTACAGGTAAAATATTGATACTTATAAATTTTGTTCTTTGACAGAACAATGTATGGTACTATAGATCTACTTTATTAAGTAGACTAATTATAACTCAGTTCTCCTATGTGCCTTATGATATAACTTGGAAGTAAGTTTGTGAAAAATCAGGATATATGTGTTGTTTGTTAAATTAACTGTTTTAAGCCCTTTTGACACCTCACTAGTTTTGTACTGTTTTACCTCTTATTTCCGAAACTCTTTTTATGGTGTATCCTGTTAGAGGGGACAAACATGTCATAGAAAGCAGTTGTGCACTCTTTCAAATATAGTTGATAAATTCAATAATCTTATATATTGAGCTTCGTGTTTATAGTACAGTAAGTGGTCTAGCAAAATTGTCCATGTTTCTTTGTTTATTGATAAATGCATTGTATAGAAACTATTTCCCCTAAATATTTATGGACCAAACAATTGTGATATATCCTATTAAATTTGTGTGAATAAACCATTTTGAATCTAAGGAGTTTTATTTCCCATCAGTTTAATTTAAGGTTTAACTGTACTAGTGTGTTTCCAATATCTGTATGTAAAAGCTATTAAAGTGGTAATACAAAAAATTTTTAAATATTCACACATACAAATAGTTTTCAGATTTCCAAACTTGATTCATTTTAAATGTACACACCATTGCATATGCAATGTAATTCAACTTAGAATTACCTTTAAATATATTTTCTTATAATAAAAGTAATGCCCCACCGATTTGACTCTGCCCAATTTTTAGAATTAAAAACAAGATAATTAGCAGATAAAGTAATTGCATGAAAAGAAACTTAACTATGATTAAGATTTAATATTAGGTCTATTGAGCACAAATGGATATTTGTAAATCAAAATAGAAATTGCAGACCCCTAAAAGCCAAGTTGCTCTGTAGTTAATAAATTGTCACTATGATTTTTTTCAGGGAGAACAAATCTTGGGGCATTACAGCCAAACATCCCGACGTTTGAAAATTCCCTAAAGTATTAAAAGAAGGGGAAAAGTTTGATCGGAAATCCACTGCAGTGAAGACAAAGACAATATTAGGTTATGATAATCATACATTTTAAAATCTATTGAGCCAAAAAAGAGAGAGAGAGAGAGAGAGAGAGACTTAAATGTCATTTACTGAATGTTAACAAAAACTCTGTTCTTTATGGTGTCTAACACAAATGGAGGCTTAAAGTTATGTGGTTTAAAACAAAATTAGATAAGCCGTGTATAAACCAGAGCAGCCTGGCAGTAATGTGCCCACCCCATATTTGAAGAAAATTATTATTGCTAAAAAAAAAAAATCCCACACATTTGTCAAGCACAGTAATTGTAAAATAAAGTCCAAAAACATCCATTTCACTTGCTTGCTAATGTGTACTAGTCCTATCTGTTCATAGAATTTTCCAATTGTAAATTCAAAGAAAAGCTATCACTCCTTTGAGAGTATAGGATCAAAACCCAGTAATTTTAGTATCATTGTTTATTCCTTCCTTTTTAAACAGAAATCTCTGCATGCACTTTTACATCTGTCACTTCTAGTGTACATCTCTGTATAATGACTTATCTTTGCTGTTTCTTGTATGATAAATAGCTTTCATGAATAAACATTTTATTTGATGCAAACATAGTTAACTTTATGTTAAATACACACTGTTGAAATTACTTTTGAACACTGTCTTAAGAGGCAGCACGATACATTTCCAACTTGTGATACTTAGGAAAAAAAAAAATCCAAACAATCTAATGAGGTAAAATTCTGGTAGTCTAGGATAAAAGGACTTACTTGGTTTTTAACTTTTCATGACATTTTATTTGTTGTATTCAATCGACCCATGTATTAAAAATTAAAAAAAAAGAAAACACAAGTTACAACAAAAAAATAAACCTTAGAATAAACTATCATGTAAAATTTCAGCAACTTTTTAGATTATTAGGGTAAAATTTATAGATCCTCTGTAAGTTTACATGTTTGCTATGCAATGAGCAAATTTACTGAAGTATACAAATATATCCTGAACTATGAAAAGATCCGATCTTTGCATGGTTCAAATTACATATGATATTACAAACAAAGGAGCAAGTGGAAAGAAAAACAAATATTTAGGAATGAGGTTTTTTTAATTGTTAAAGGGACTATTTGAAGAAAGAATTTTTTAACGATTCCTATTTAGCTGTATATCCAAAGCATATGTTAAACAAATTAACATATAACTTTCCAGAAAACTTTTCATTATGATGAAATTTTTATTATATACAAATGAACCCTATGTAAATGATGTAACTTTTATGAATGACAGACATTAAATATTTCACTTACATGTATTCTCAGAACTTTGAATGTTTTCTTAAATGCTTTCACTTCCTGAATACTAAAAAGGGGAAAGAAAATTTAAAAAGAGAGAGCAATTTACTAATAATAAAAAAAGAAAAAAAGAAAAGCACCATGACAAGTAGACTATTTTGAGTGATCATGAAACATGTTGGTTTTGTCAGTAACTTGAATGTTTATGCCTCATTGAAACCTCATGCATGGCTATAGCAACTTAAATAGATTTTCCAATACATTTCCACTCAGTTTATTCAAATCCTTGTCCTACAGCTTTGCCTTCTTTCCCTGTGCTGTCACCTATGGCAGTTTCGGTTAGAAATATTTTGGAGCCTCGCCTGGTTTTACAGACCTTTAAATATTTGTCTGGTATGTGAAATGCGGGAGGAGACCAAAGAGGGAAAGAACATAACTGCAATTAGACATCTGAAAAAAATAATACAAATTTGAAACAGGCACATTTTTAAAAAGTAAAAGAAAGGAACCCTCATTATGTGAGTGGGAAGAGAAGAAAAGCATGCGATGTAGAGTTGGAGGGTCTGTCTTGCTTTCCCGTGATGTACCGTGGTTTTTCAGTCTGGGCAACCACACACTTATTTTTGGGCATGGAAGAGAAGGATGTGGACTTCTTAGAAGGGAGCAAGGTACTAAATTTTCATAGTTTCTACCTCCCATGTCTGGGTTAGTCTAACTTCTGGCAAATTGATCTCAGGCAAAAAAAGCTTTACGGAGAGTTAGCATCTGTCAGCTTTGGTTGAGTGGCCCCCTTAATGCTGGCTTACAGGGTAGGCAGGCTTTTCATACCTCAAATAAGGAAAAAAAAATCCATAATAAAGGACCCAAAGCAAACACTTTTAAGACCTGGGTGATTTTTCATCACCTAAAAAATAGATAGCTTTATTTAACAAAACCCCTGTAGAACCCACAGCACA